AGAAAGGGAAGAGAGGAGGCACGAGAAAGGAGGAGACAACCCTTGCACTGCAGACACGCTCCGAGTGCAGATATGAACCCTGAGGCTTGCCGAGGGCTCTGAGGAAGGCTTGCCGAGGGTTCTGAGGGAGGCTTGCCGAGGGCATCATATCGCAGCACGAGGCAGCGTGTTTCTACGGGCTGCCACAGGGACTGTCAGCCATTGTAATTACAGTGAGTTCGAGTGAAATTGTTCGCTTGATTATTCTTCCAATTGTCTGCACTGTGGTGCAGACTTTTTCGGCATTCAAAACATTGCACTGTGCTGAAGCCTACCCTCGTGAAACAAGCCCTTTTGAGTAACATTACGTTTGTCCCCGTTTGTCCCGCCTGTCACGGTGCAGATGTACCCGTCAGCCGGTATACAAAAACGCATCCCTCCCAAGGCATCCCTCCAAAGGTACCCGAAGTCTACTGTGTGACTAAAAAGAAAACCGGGTTGTTGGCGCTTCGAGTGAAACATGGCCGTACCATTTCGTTTTATTACCAATGGTGTGGTTGTAATGTTGCGATTTTCGTTACAATACTCTGCTTTAACGTAACGAGTAGCGAATTCATCTGAGGGATGTAAACACTGCCTTACTACTTCAACAAAAACGATACCCCAATGGCGCGAGCAACACTGGGTGGATCCAGAAAATGTTCAACGCACCACATTTGGCAATCTGACCTGGAGACTGTTCAACTACCACTACCGTTCTCTAGCTTGGATGCCTCGAGACTCGGTGGTTGCTGCGAGTCAAGTATCATCTCTAGAAAAATGAACAAGCATGCAGAGAACGCCATGTAGAAGAAGAAGCGCAACTTTTCCACATTGAGTGTAAGATTCTGCTCTGGACACTTTCCAGTAGCTCGCAAGTACCTTTCTGGAGTGGGGAGCACGCCCGCATCAGTCAAAAACACTGTCTTTTCACTGAGGTGACTCGTCATATTCGACCCGCGCGGTAGTACGAATGACAACCCAGTTCGCAACGCAGGCTCCCCCGTCACCAGCAAACGACCACAGTACTCCCTTTGCGTAAGCTCATTTCCTGATGATGACAATGTGAGCATGTATAGGCACTTTTTAGTGAGGAGGTTGTCGATCCCGTCCTTGTACCGTGAAAAGTAGACAGGCTTTTCTTTGTGACAGGCACTGCAAAAGTCATCGTCTCTCATTTCAATGTCAGCGATATCTTTTCAAACCTAGCGTCCATACGCATTCTGTGAGGGGCGCAAACTTACTTTTTCCCAATCGTATTGATCCAAAACAAGTCGATAGCGCCTCCTTTTGGTACGCAAACGTCACTTGGTCGGACGTTACACGTTTTCAGATCTTGCAAGCCTCTGTAACGAGAGGAAAGCGTGTCTTGTACGAGCGCTGCACTACACGTAATTGATATGGCGCGAATCATGCAGACAAACAAGTAACTATTAGTGTACCGTGCGAAATAAACCAACAAGTGGAAACCACGAGTAGCAAAGACACTTACGTTAGCGCTGATTCGTATGCGAGAATCAAGAATAAGCTGCTTAATGTAATCGTGATGTTCAACACCCACTGGCGGAAGCTGGTCTTCCCAGCGACGGGATCGGAGCTACCCTGATCGAAAATGCGACTCACTTCATATCCCAGTTGAAGAGCAACAAAAGGAAGGACGTGAGGGGAAGGGTGAGGGGGTTAGAACTCGAAACAGTATTGCCCTAAGAGAAATACCCCTAGTGAGAGTATGTCTTCACAAGAGACGTACATGTACTCTGCCCTGCTTGTCGCATGCGGCGTAGCCGACGGCTCTTGAGGATGAAATGCTTAAGACGGCGAATGCACCATTCCGAGTCCGGGAGCGGTCGGTACGAGTCGTCCGGGGGCGCGAAGCGGACATCGAGCATCTTAAGCAATGCGAACACGACGACCAGTGCGAGGATGAGTCCCCAGACGGAAAGCGAAAAGACGGTTATGAAGAAGGCGCCCTTAGACACTGACGAGGAGGTCTGGTCGATGCGGGTGATGACACTGATGCCGTCGAGAGCGAACGGCGGCAGAAAGTCGACTTTTCCGATGCGGTCGCGGTTGAGAAACCAGCCGCCGACGCCCATGTCGCACTGGCAGTGTGGGTCGTCGCGGATGCCGCCTTCCTTCGTGGTGCAGCCGTCCATATCCGTGACGAAGTCGTTGAAGGTGCGCCGCGGGAACTCGGACAGGGATTTGCAGCGAAAGCCCAGGCTGTCCTGCAGGTATCGGAGATACTCTACGGCCAGACCGTCGTAGCCGAAGGGCTGCTAGAGGTGTTAGTTTGGTGTGTGTGGGGGG